CTGCTCAGGAGAAGAAATTTGACTTGCTCTCAGACCTGGGAGGAGACATCTTTGCTGCTCCACCCACTCAAACTGCCAGCTCTTCCAACTTTGCCAACTTTGCACATTTTCCAAGCCAATCGGGTAAGATACCTTTCTCTCAAAGGTCCCAGGGCGTCCAATATTTCACTCAAAGGCTAATATAACTCAATACCAATATATAACAGTATGTATTCTTTGGTTTGTCATCAGCCCATGCATTTCCCTGCCATTGTTTTTATTTCCACATTCATTGCCTGTGTTAATTTTTCCTTTTGTGTGGCTGCAGCACCTCAGGGTAATTCAAACACCAACTTTGCCAACTTTGAGGCATTTGGAAACACTGCAATTCCATCCCATCTGAGCACGTCACCCCCCTCAAAGTCCTTTTCATCAGGTACCCCCCTCACCACCATTGCCTGTCCTCCCTCTCCACACACACTCACCCTCAACCCAATATTTTTCTTATTCATTTCTCACCCACTGTGTCCACTGTGCAAGCCCTTTCTGTATCCACAAAATTCTCTACAGATGCTCAGAGCATGTGCTGGCCGTTATTGCTGCTGTTGCTAAGCAACTGTTAAAAACTTGATGGAAGCACATTTCTCTAGGATAAAAATTTAAGGGTTTTTACGCTATTGAGCACTTAACACATGCTAAGCTAAGCTGCTAGGTGTGATGGGAACACACCACCATCCTTTCAGCTTGAATTAATTTGAAAAAGACATCTCAGACGTGCTGTGAAGGCAGACACCCAGTGGACATCTTTTTCTAAACCTCACATTGTATATGTGTTACAAAATACCAAGCTTTTCTCTGAGTCATCAGTCAGTTAGTTCCTCATCTTTTTATTATTTGTGTGTGTGTGTGTGTTTGCATGTAGCTCTTGATGTTTGAGTATCTTTTTTTTTTTTAATTGTCAAAAGGGGGAGGTGTGCCAATTCCGTCAATGTCTAGTGCCGTCCCTGCCCAGTCCCAGACAGGGAGCCGCACAGAGGATCGCTATGCTGCTCTGGCTGAGTTAGACAACGAGCTCAGCTCTTCTGCCTCCACAGGCAGCAATGTGCAAGGGTGAGAGACTGAGACAACTGCTAACAAATATTCAACAGAAACAGTTCATTTCCTGCATGTGGTTCCTCTGCACCAGGACATACTGTATACGCAATAATTTTACATTTTATACATTAATCACATTAATTTGATTAATTTACTGTGTAATGTGTGTTGGTGAATAATATCCACATGGTGAAATGGTGGTTGATCATATTACTTGGATAAAATGAGTATCCATGAATTTAAATCCCAACTAAAATCCTCCAATCCAGTCAATGTTTTCCACTCTAAAGTGAATAGGATCTCATTTCACAGCTCAACTGATTGATTAAAAGAAAGGTGGCAAAGTGTTTACAATGTCAGTGACTCAGTTATAAAGGTTAATTAATGTGTTCATGGATGTAAAAACATTTAATCTGGGCATTGTCTCACAGGAACCTATTTGGACCAGTACTTGGTTCATCGCCAGCCCAGAATCCACCTGTGTTACCCAGCATGCAGCCTGGCTTTGGAGGTGGTAATAATGATTGACTACAATGATGCATACAGAATGAGAGTGGTACATTTACACATGTAGGTCGAAGACTCATGTGGTAACTTACTCCTGTGTTTCATCTAGCCGTCCCATCCACAAATCCCTTTGTTGCTGCAGCTGTTGCCCCGGAGATGGCCACCAACCCTTTCCAGACCAATGGCAGGGCTCCAGCTGCAGGTGTGTGCATAAATTTGGAGTAATTCATTAGACTCATTTTTTTTCTTAGACATTTGTGTTAGTTTGATGTAACCCAGTTACATTGCCAAGTAGCCTTGTGATTTGCCAAAGAACCTAGAATTTACTCCTCCTTATGTGTGTGTGTGTCTGTGTCTGTGTGTGCATTCACTGTACACACATGTTTTGTGTGTCTCGTAGCCTCGTTCGGTACTGGCTCTATGAGCATGCCTGCCGGCTTTGGGAATGCATCTTCCTACTGCCTCCCGACCAGTTTCAGCGGAAACTTCCAGCAGCAATTCCCTGGCCAGGCCCCCATCCCTTACGCTCAGCCTGGGGCCTACCACCCTCAGTCTAATGGTTAGTGGCCTCCCATATCCCTCTGTCCTCCTACCCTGTTCCACCTGTGCAGTACCTGTCAGTGATATAGGTCATCTGCCTTTTCCCCAGCGTGAAGTGTATGTACTATTTGTCCATATAGCCTTCTGCATTGAGACCTGAGTTTTAAGTCTGGCTGCAGCAAATTAAAATTGTGACTTGTCAGTGGCAGCTACTGCACAGTGACAAAAGGTTGCATTTAGGGTGCAAAGCTTTAAGGTTCTGCTCTTTACAAAGTACAAAAAACACAATGGAACCAATGTGACAAATGTTTCATCTCAAAATGCTCTGTTCACACCTGAATGCAAGCTGACACCCTGGGGCTTGGCTCTTTTTTCCCTTTAGAGTCTTAGTCCCTTAAAGGTTTCATTGTAAAATGACTGTTTAACTCTTTCTGGACATTTTCTTCATCCCTGTTGATATAACAGTTACAATGGCATAAAAGAAAAATACAAACCCTCATTAGACATTACTTAACTGTTGGAGACAGCAGACTCAACCTGTTATAAATCCCTTCCCCTCTGTCACCCTGTCACCTAGGCCCTGCATTCCCAGTCTACAGTCAGAACAAGCCCTCCATGACGCCCTTTGGGCAGCCCATGGCTGGCCCTGGCATGTCCAATAACCCATTCATGGTGAGCATGCTTTGTCTTTTGTTTTCCCAGCTTTTTCAAGAATGTAAAAGGAGGTGTAAAGGACCTTTATTAGCCTAAGAAAACAACTGAATTGATTTATTTCACTGAAAACATTGCTATGTATAACATTTAATTTGAAGGGATTGTCTTACAGCAGTAATGTTTTTTTCTCTTATTTCAGGCAGGAGCCCCAGCTGGGTCATTCCCTTCAGGGGGTTCATCCACCAACCCTTTCCTGTAGCACAGCTCCACGTACTCGTCAGCAGAGGGCAGCATGCAGCACATACTCAACGCACCCGTTCCGTCACACAATTAGTGGCAGTACATTTCTTAAAAAAGACTTCTTTTTTTTTTTTTCATAAAAAAAGTTTACAACACTATGAAGGAGTACAAAGGACTATATTGAAGACTAAGGGACTGTTATTGGGGGTGTACTGTTTGGACTATATACAATACATTATATGCTTTTTATTTTTTGTTTATGACTGTAAGCTCTGTGCATATCATTTGTAATCGAAATTAAGTACATGTTATGTATAACAAGGACTGAGTTAACACACACCTTGTGGAAAAAGACCACTACAAACTATCTACGTAAGTAAGGGTATACACTTTTAAGATTATTAACAGGGTTCCATCCAAATCCATGATCTATGGTTTGAAGCAGCCATGGTGATGCAGGTATTTCGTTTTCAAAAGGGATTTCTATTTGTTATTTTAGCATAATTGCTACTATACTGGCATTAAGATGCAAAATGTCCTTTATTAACTTACAGATCCAGAGTGCTTTTCCTAAGAGTCTGAAGTTGCCTATAACCCAAAGCAACCAAACCCTCGTCTGTTTAAATTAGAACAACATCCCAAGCAGGTGGATGAGACACAGCATTGATCCTGGACTATTAGTTATTGTTTTAAATATTGATGAAATTGTGAATAAAGGGGCAGCTTTCTCATTATGAGGCTAGCAGAGACTTCAGATGCTTTGGCCCACCCAGTAAAGGGGCAGGCATGTCTATTAGAGCACAAATGGAGGACTGAGACAAGAAGTGCAGGCGTTGAGATGAGTATTTCTTTGTCCTGTTACCCTGCTTAATCTATAAAACAATGATAAAATAGTTCAGTACACTCAGTAACCTCTCTGCTGCTGGTTGTAGATGTTAGAGGAGCAAATAGCAGATGTTCACTATATTTCATGAGTTTGGTAAAGACAAAGGGAAAGATTGTTAGGAAAGCTTCAGAGTTGTGGGTGTGATCCAAATTGGGTTACTTCAAAACAAAGTGTTGTTTTCATAGGTTGCAGGTGACTTGTCCTATTGACAGGGAATGACTGGTTTACCAGACCCGGCCCAGACAAAAAATTTACAACACTTGAAAACAAAATACTTAGGAAATGTTAGTTACATTGTATTCACTACACTCCCTTGATATCTGTCTTCTTCTTTGCCTTGTGATTGAAACGCCTTTTGGAGAGAAAAACAGGATGAGGAGAAATATTGAACTCCCTTCAGTTTGCTTTAAAATAAGGCAAAGGAAAGGATCAGATTAATTTATGGATGATTACATTCTTGGATCCACCTCTGACTCTGGAGAACTAGGGTCTTAATTGTGCCACCAATGACTAACAATGAATTTGACTATGTGTTTCTTGTCTTTACAAGAATAGGTAAGTAAATGTGTACATATATAAATATATGTATAAATAAATTAAAAGATTTTTAACTACAATGATGAATTTGTGTAACTGTTTTAAAAGTGTTGTTCTAAATCCTTCTAACTAATAGATGTGCAATTATTCCTCCCTTTAGGAAAGTTATACTGCTGATTTTCCATTGCAACTTAGCAAATAGGTGTTACCAATATCTTGTCTATCTAAGCCTTCAAAATGAAGGTAAAAACAAACTATATTTTTAAGATAAACATAAGTCTCAACACCAAAAAAGGCAATATTATCCGTATGGTGGTAGAATATGTTGTAGGGCTGTTGTATTGAACTGCATTACTATTAAAGTAAATAACAGAGTACACCTCTACATGTATTTCTATATATCATTTATAACATCAAAAAAATTTCCATAGCGTTTTCTTAATATAATTCTAATTCTGGTTAATAAAAACGCAAAATGCTGTCTTTCTTCCCATGTACTTGGACCTCAGTGTCTTCTCCAACTGAGGAGGCGTTATTACCATGACAACACACAAACTTTGACATGGCGTCTCTTTTAACAGACCCTTTGTTTGAAATCTCTGGACGGGGTCCTCCACCTAATAAGAATTTTTACCATTTTACTGTCACCAAGTCAGATGTAAGTATTGATGTTTTTGATAAGAACTGTCACTACTCTGGTTAAAAACTGCACGTTTTTACTATCTAACGAGCAAGATGCTACTCATTAGCGGCATTAACTACCGAACGTTAACAATAACGGTCAGTAACCCATCTAATGTTAGCTAAGCTTGCTACAAACATGGCAGTTTTAACTTTAACGTTAGCTAGGATAAAATTTTTACGTTGTTTCTGTTTGCTGCTAGCTACAGTGCTTACAACGCTTTGAATAGAGCAAAACAGTAGTTAGTAAAGCCAACAAAGTAAGCCCAGAAAGGTAGCATAAGAACAGAAATTGCCTAGCGATCAACGTTGCCTTAAACCTTCTGTTTTGCTGTTAGGATAATATAACAATTATAACTAACTCATTGGGTGTTAATTCGTCTTCTTCTCATCTATTGTCTCCCGCTTCACTGTGGGGGTTGTACGCGTTTGTTAGACTGTTCCACAGTTCTGTTTTTATTAACTAGACCTGAAAACTGTGATGAAGAGAGGTTAATGAAAAAAGAAAAGCATTCAAAAAGAAAGCAATGAGTTTTCATAGCTTGTTGTTCAAATATTTCTAACACCAGTTAATTTTTTGACGTTTCCAGGTGATATGGAGATGGTGGAAGATATCTCTGAGAACTGTGGACAGGTACTCCAAGCCTGGGGAGCTGAGGGAGTCTCACCAGGACTTCTTGGATGACACTTGGCTACAGAGTAACTAAAACGCATCCCACAAATCTCAGCATGTTAACTTCTCAAGCATTTCATATGTCACTTGCATCTTCAGTTAAGGGAACAGACATTTGTGACATGTCACAGGAGGCAAAACGCAGGTGTTAATAATGATGATAATTATTGATGGAATTCCATTTTTAGCTGCTTTAGTTTCAGGGTCCTGTTGTCTGGTGGCTCACTGTCATAGCTTACTGAGACAGTTGAATAGAACAGATTGTTAGTGTTATTAGGTTTTCCTAGTATGGCAAGTCTAAACGTCTGCTGTGAAAAAGGCATACCAGTGAGTTCTTAAGAATCATCTGCGGCTGTCATCCATGAAGGAGTGGTGAGAGCAGCGAGAATTATTATGATCTGTAAATGGTGTGTTTGTGGCTCATGATTGTTATATGGCTGGAGTAATTTAAACAGACAACATAGTCCAGTCACAACTGCTTTTGAATATCCAGATATAACTTAAAAAGCTGTTAAGTGTTGGTAGGGCCTCCATAGGGATAGTTGTGTTAGTAAGTATGACCAGTTTACAGGTTTGTGTGTGTTTTGCAAAGTGATGTTAAAAAGAGAGAACATTGTCTATTAATTCTTCCTAAATACATAAAGTATTTAAGTATTTATAAGACTTTCTGCCCAACTCTTGGGTACATATCACATAAACTTGAATTACAACAGGCTTTGATAATTTTAGTAAGTTCTGTCTATAGTAGTTCTGTAGAGAAATAGATGCCTTTTTTTATCATACAGTGTTTTAGGTGTATATTGCTCTGTATTCAGATTCCAATTCTAGTCTTGTGATTATTGTATGGGAGACCAAACTTAATGCTTAAATATGAATGACAGCTAAAATAATGGGCTTTTTCCCAGGTGAGGTCAGTATGGTTTTTGGCCGTCGAATCTTGCTGTACACCAAGGCTTTGTGCCAAGGCCATTATGATTATCTGGAGCACCTGTCTGACTCCTTACTCCTGCGGATAATAAATTATCTAGAACTAGAGGATGTGGGCCAGCTTGGACGAACATCACGTAGGTTCAGGCAGGTGAGTTCTAGAGACACAACAAGAAATGCTGCCAAAAGTAAATTGTATCCTGTGATAAGAAACATTAAATCTGTTATTTAAGGCTTCACGATTGCACATTTTGTCTTCTGCCCATCTATTATTTGAATATATCATTATAAATCATTGTTATTAAACTTAAAGTAATATTCTATTCTGGTTCTAATACATTTTAAGCAGTATATCAATGCAACAAAATCAGCTCTTTGGTTTAGTATAATCTTCATACTTTTTGCTTCTGCTCTTCAGCTATGTGGGTCAGAGGAGTTTTGGGAGCAGGCAGTGCGGCGGCGCTGCAACACAGTTTCAGTTGAGGTGGCGTCCCTGGCACTTGAGGTGGGCTGGCGCAGCATCTTCTTCACAAGCAAGCTACATCTGCAGAAGCTGATCAGCCGCAGGAGGCTAAAGACAGAGGAGCAACAGGAAGGACAAGTCTCTGACCCAGATAAAAAGGCAGAGGAATCTCCTGATGAAAGCTCAGAGACAAACCAGATGTCCATTTCTGAGGAGGAATCTCACCCTGGCATTATCCCTGATCTGAGCCTTGGCACTGGCATTGGCTCTGGCTTTGACGCCAGTTCTTGCTGTGATGTTGATCCTGACACCAACCATGAACTAGAGGCTGGCTCTGATTCCAGTGAGTCTGTGCCTGACCAATGCTTGGAGGACATAAAGCACTGTGGGGTGGAAACACTGGCGCAGAGCAGTCCACTGAGGAATGGTAGAGGAGACTGCAGTACAGAGCCAAACAAAACACAGAGTTAAGCCTTTTATCAAATGTTGAGTAAGTCCTGTGTTTTAGGCTTACTGTTATATTGATATGCCATTTATACGCAGTTCTCATCCTAAAATGAGTTGTGTATTGATTAGTGAAAAAATGTTGACTTTTATTTGTCAAATGTAATTTTTTTTACATGTTTGTTGTTTGTTGTCAGCTGTCAATCCTCTACAGGATATTTGAGGACATTTTCATACGTCCATTCTGTCAATGACTTTTCAGACTTAGCATACATTAATAAGACCAAAAAAAGATATAACAGGACATTGTATATCATATCAATTGTTTATTGTAATACACAGAATACTTTAATTGTAAAGTTAGAAAATAAATTTGATATACAATATACAATATAATGTCAGTCATAACTAATTCCAAGCAAAAATCTCAGTATCCAATTGCCACTTTGATAGGATGAGTCTCAGCTTTACTTGAGGGGACACAAACAGGGTAAGTAATGGCAAGGTAATGTGATAATGCATGGGTTAACCAGGCACAGTTCATGAAGCAAGTGGTCAGTATGCAGATTAACAGATCTGGAAAATTAATAGATACTGGATCATCAGTATCTAGAAATCTTCTCAAATGACATTATCTTGATTCAGAGCTATTCATGAACAATAAGTCATTAAGTAGCTAATTAATTTCTGATTTTTTCCTTTTCAACTAGGCTGTATTTTGTGTGGCTTATTATTATGTTTGAGCCTTTAGTCATCCATTGTTTCATTTTCATGTGTGTTAACCAGGTCAGTGTTGTCTTCTGAACAAGGAGTAGCTGCTCCTCCTGTGGGCTCACAAGATGTTCCTCAGTGCTCCCATCAGCCAGTGCCCACTACACTGCAGAAGGGAGTTGCCATGACATCCTTGTCAGGTACCTAAGCTCCTTCATTTATCTGCACTTAGTCGGGAGGGAAAGCATTTTGAAAAAGACAGTAAGGACATTTTTAAGATGTTACACTTATAATGTGCGTGGACCATTTCATAAGTATTTTCTTGCACTGCACTCCTAATCCTATATGGTTAAAGTGTTTTAAAGTTATCAGTTATACTTGATGTAGCTGTAATTATCAGTCAAATATAACTCAAACTTTTTCATAACTGGTTCAAAAAGGGGGCTTGGATGTGGAAAAAAAAACATTTCCTCTGTGAGAAACATAGACCTGCAATTTCTATTTACAAGCATTGCTATCTATTTGATTAGTGGGTCAGTTACAGTTACATCATAATCTGGTTTCCTAGAAGACACAGATAATGTCTGTAAGTTTTGATAGGATTATGAGTGCAGTGCACACAGATAAAACAGTCCCCTAGGGGGCACAAGCTGCTAGTGCTAATGATCTGTCCTGTGCTCAGCTCATTACTCTCTGCCTCCCTGTTTGTATTGCTTTACTTTATGATGGTAGGCTCTACATATCGGCCATGTTAATTGGAAGGTTATGGTTGAAAATAAAATCAAAGTCTCACAGGGAAGGATATTTTCTGAAATGCTAGAAAAGACTTTATTAAAGGAATAAATAAAACTGAACTCTAACAGTTTTCTCAGAAATATCCCAAAATCAGCTGAGGACCTGCACTTGTTAGTGAAACTTTGATGGTTGTAGGCAGAACACCAGGAGCTTCAGCAGGGATTAGGCAGAAGTGAGTAGCACCCACCTGTGCTACTGGCCTGTACTGTATCCCCTTAAATGGATATTTCAACACTTACTCTGGTTGTTTGTAGCCTGTGCCCGTGACACTCTGAATTCTTTCGGCTCTGCCTTGTCTCTAGACAGCATGTCTGTCAGGATTAGGAGATCCTTAAAGTGTTTCTACTGCCTCTGAAAAATAGTTCAGTTCACCACCCTTTTTGAAAACGGCTGGGTCTTGCCAGGTGGATGAATGATTGCAGAAGGTCATCTAGAAGTAATATTCCTTTGTCTCTTGCCACACCCAAACTTTCAAATCTGCAATAATTTCACTGTCACTGACTCTTCTGGCCTGTTGGCACCTGCCTACCAAGTCTGGAGTTTTTGATGCCAACCACATGTGAACAACATCCTTATTCAGTTGGACAGCTTTTTGCACCACCTTCTTGGGTTGCAGACAAGCACCATTCTGACCACAGACTTTGCACAGTGTAAGTTTTGAACAAGATGCCACCTGACTCCAAGTGCACGAACTTCTGCCTGGTTTATATCGACAAAACCCTGTAATTGTATTTCTTTGGTATTCCTAGCAAATGCTCACCACACATTAGGGTCCTCATACTCCTACTACCTAAGAGTCCTGAGCATTTGACCTCATACCTGATAAAACCATCACTGACATTTGACCCAACAAAGATTCAACCAGTTTCAGATCTGGGAAGCCATTCATTCCAGTCACACTCCTCTAGCTGCTTCTGCCCTTGGCAGAATTAGGGTAAAAGTCTTCTAGTTTCACTGTGACATGACCAAGTTGAGCCATCTTCAGCACCTGGCCTGCTTTGCAGTCACTCTTCTTCCCTATGGGAAACAGTCACAACAAGGAAACATATCTCTTGTTGCTGGCTGAGAAAGAACAAAAACCTTGAGACACTCTGCAGTTGTACAGATACTATACTATACTGTTTTTGTATTTTGGCTGGTTCTGTGTAATTGATTTGTAAGCATTCACAGAAAAATCTCTGTTCTACTGTGAATATGTTCCATCTACTGCCTCTTTTTGTGGAAAGCTTGAGAGGGGCCATAAGAGGATGGAGTCAGACCACGTAAAGACCATGTAGTGGGCCATGTGGGAAATAGGATGAGAATGCTCTGCTCATCTTAACCTTTACTCCCTCATCAGGCCAGGCTAATCCTGGCCAAGGTTAAATGAGCAGGCTACTCAAAAGATCAAACATCTAAAACAGAGTAGAGAAGAAGAGTAACACAAAATTCTCTTATGTACGTCTGCTCGATTTGTCAATAACCCTCTTAATCTCCCTTGTCACCACTGTATTAGTTATTTCCATGTTTCTTTTAACGGCAATTTGTTTTAGGCTGGTGCCATACATATTTTTTTAATGAATACATTATTTTGTGATGGGCCCTTAATGACAATTGCATGGCTCGACAGGAATTCAACTCCGTTGAATAAGTGGGAAACTCTTAGAGTGATGTAGGAGCTCTCAGATTACCTCTCACTGCCTTCCCTGACCTGGTAAAAGAAACCTATGACCTCTTTTCATCCTCTCAGGAGGCTTAAGTGCTTTACTGACACTATGATCCATTTACAGCATGACTGACATTTAACATATTTGATATTTATTATCTCTTTAACTGGCATCTTTTTCTTTTTAAAATTTTGAATTTTAAATTACAGTTTGGTGAAATATTTGTGAACAAGAGTCAAGTTGAAATAAGGACCTTGTCCTCTATTCTCTCTTTCCTCAGTGTAATCATTCAGTGTCCTTTTTTGACAAATCAAATTAAACTCAACGTCTTGCTGGGGACATTGTGATCTTATTTTACTTATTGCTGTATTTTTTTTTTTTTCTAAAAACATTTTATTCACTTTCACACTGGTTGAACTATGTGGGGGTCAGTCTGGGCTTTTGTGAGTCAAAGGTCTGAGTCTGGAGCTCTGACGGCAAGCAAAGCCCCTGATCTTGAGCAGGGCACTAACAGCTTGAGACCATTTGAGAAAGGATTAGCTAATATTATCTGAGGTTTATCTCGCTAAATTAGCCTACATCACTGTAGCTGTAGCATAGGGCTACTGCGAACAGCAATGACAAAAGGAAAATGCCAATTCATTGTATTAAAAGTGTAAACATTAAAACCACCTATGTGGTTTGAGAGAAGTGCTGCAACAGTGAAATGCAAATACTGACTTAGGCTAATAGGTAACGTATATACAATACCAGAGTTGTAATAAGACCAGACAACAGATTCACATAGAGAGTTAATGTAGGTTTTAGCTCAATCAGAACAATATGGTTGTTCGCCCAAAATGTTTTGGCTTTCCTCTCTTGTGTGTGTAGTGTCACTGTGACGTATCAGGTGTATCACAAGTCCTCAGTTTAACCTCCGTTCTGTCACACGATTAAGGTCATGCTCTTCAGGCTTTTTATACACGGACCTGTAGAAAGAAGCCCAGGTGCAATGTTGATCTGATCCTTTGAATCTATGTGATGACTCTTGATTTAATCAGCCAATGCTACATTGTTACTTGTGTATGTAGAAATAGGGAAAAAGATCAACTTGTGTTGTTTTTTTGGTTATGCTAAGTATGCAGTTTCTTTTCTTACAATGTTCGGTTATTGCTCAGTGGCTAAATGGAGCAGAACAATTGAACTTGATTGTGGACAAACCAGCTACTGGTGTGTTGTATTTACTAAGTACTTCATCAGTTGTTTTATTTCTTGTGAGTGCAATGTCACAGCATCCTGCTGAGCACCTAACTACTTCTCTATAGACATGTCTGCAGTTTAGCAGTCATGTAGCAAATAATCTTATAACCTCTAATAAAAATACTAGACATATGAGATATAAGACATGGATGCATTACTTCTCAATATCAAAAACACATAGTAGACACATAGCTCCATGTGTATTACACTCAATGAAAATGACTCATTTCATTAATATGTAAAACAGCATTTTTTATTAAATTATAGAGACAGCCTGACTAATTAAAACATCTTGCAAATACTAAAAGGAAATTTACTGTTTAATTAAGCCAAATCTCAGACATGTACATGTTGTCATAGCAAAGTATAGTAATTATATTAATTACTAGGTATAATTTTTTAATTCCTTAAATGTTAAAATGCTTTCTAAAAATTTTAAGTAGTTGTCATTGTAAAGTAGTGGTCACTGATGAATGTAGGTAAATTATGAGAATGAAAGAGGATGAGGGCATGAGGAGTAAACTCAGCAAGCTGAAGTACCTGCTCTGTCTAGACTGGGACCAGGAAAAAGATGAGGATGCATGGGATATTTTAGAGCCATGGTTTACTATATTAACAGCCTAAGTGAAAATATTTCTTAATTATTCTGCTCAAGGGTCCAACTACAATATATATATATATTTTCAATCCATATGTTAAAATACCATATGTAAATACTCATCCAAACATTACTGTGTCACTGCTTTTTTTTGTGTCTTTTAACTTCATCTTGCAATTAAATGCATAGTCAATAGCCCATTGGACCACTGTTAGAGACTACTGAACACCACGAACAAATATAGAGGGCTACAAAGCCTCTTAGGACAGAGCCCGCTTATGATTCCCTTTCCGTGCATGGCATCCTTGAATAGACCACACAAAGATCCTTAAGCCAAAATCCCTCCCTGGTATTTAATTCTAAATGAGTAATTACTGGGTGTGTCAGTGTGTCTTAGGTTTGCAGGTAGGCTGGGTGAAGGAGCTCATTTGCACGCTGGCTTCGGAGCGAATTGCACTCTCACACAGACACACACATTCTGAGAGACGCTGCACTGGTTATAAGAGGGTATCCGTGGGGAGCCACTGAAGAACCCAGTCACTTAGGGGGGACAGATCACATACAGCCGCCAAGATGTGTGACATGGGGGGACTGGATAACCTGGTGGCCAACACGGCCTACCTAAAAGCTCAGGGTGGTGATGACAAGGAGATGAAAAAGCGCCGTCGCAGCTTGTCTCTTCCCAAGCCTGAGCAATGTGGTCCAGTACGAGCTTCCCTTGACAAGGACTTTACATCAATTTGTGAAAGGCAGCCTATTGGCAAAAAGTTTTTCCGTGACTTCCTGGCAAATACCAGTGAATTTAAGCTTGCTGCTGATTTCCTGGATGAGCTGTATGACTGGGATCTGGCTGAAGGTGCAACAAAAGACAAGGCACGTCAAAACATCCTCAACAAGTATTGCAAGGCTGACTCCAAGACCTTCCTGTCGTTTCTTACCGGGGAGCCTGCTGAGAAGTGCAAGTCTGTGACAGATGCCAACTTTGAGGAGGTGATGAAAAGCAAAGTCCAGGAAGGTGTAAGAGATTTTCTGAAAGGCAAACCCTTCACAGATTACCAGGCCAGCCCATTCTTTGATAAATTCCTCCAGTGGAAAGAGTATGAGAAACAGCCCATCAGTGACAAATACTTCTATGAGTTTAGAACTCTGGGAAAAGGAGGCTTCGGAGAGGTAAGCATGCAAATGCATCTACATTTAATCTCTAGTCTGTTTGTTGTTGTGGCAAATAATTGACCTTTTTAGTTGCAGGAGTCTTTCCAGACTCCTCAGGTGTGATGGTGTTGTTAATCAATCATGTATTACCGTCGTATTTTTTTAATAAGTTATACTAAAACTGTAAGATAATGTGCATTCAACTTTCTGAATTGTAATGATGGTGTTACAGTTGAGTAATTGTGTTGGCCTTGAAGCACACAAAAGGATATACCTGGACAAGAGATCACACCTTACATAACTGAGGATTTACATTGTCTCAAGGTGACCATGAAGTTATGTGGCATACAGGCATACTTTGTAAATTTTAGAAAATAGAAAAACTTTTCAATAAAAATTGTTTTAAAAGATCAACTGTTATTTCAACATGTGAAGAAACCTAAATTTCTGCAGTAAACTGCAGGAATAGAAAATAGTTAATCTGATACATTGTTAATAATCATGTCATTTAAAAGGTTTGAATAACCTTTGAAGATGCCTGAAGAAAATGAGAGGCACATTGTTATCTTGTGAAGCTGATAGGATCAGATGCATGAGATGATGTAATCTAAGCTGAATTTTTACATAACATTACTGATATACAGAGGACCTACAACTGACCCCTGAGGAACCCCTTTACTGAGTCAAGCTCTTAAGAACAAGCCTCAGTATACAACCCAAAAGAAAATAACTAGCTAGACTAGAAGTGTAAAAAGCCATAGAGACTTAAAAATGTTGGTTAACAGTATAATGTCATGTAAACTATGGTAAATGTTGCTGTGATGCCCTTGTCTAAATCTGCTGTGACTGTATAATACTGTTTTATTTTAAAGCAGCAAATTTGGTGGAAGTTGAACAGTGAATCAAACAACTTTATTTGATCTTTGATACTGAACAATCAAACAATAAACAAACAATTAAACAATTTTTAAACCGCTAATGTGACTTTCTTTATGCAGTGGACAAATCTTATCCGCTGTCTATAGAGAAGGAGTGATACCAGAAGTAAATGTTGAGTTAAAGATGTAAGTTAGACAGGTGGCAAATGGGCTGCTAAGACACAGCTGGCCAGGGTCAAGTCAGGTTGACTTCTTGAACCAATTTTCTTGCCTTTATATAGAATCCTAATCAGAGTCGGCAATGGTTCCTTTGCTGCCCAGAGGTCTCCCTGGCATCCTGGTGCCAGAAGACCATGATTTGTTGCTGTGGGAAATGGATTGTAGTAAATTGAAATGGAAAACTGGTTGGACATCTGTAATAAAAAATGCCTTCTTTTTAACAAATAATTTAACAAATAAAATTGTCTTTCTCCAGGTATGTGCTGTTCAGGTGAAGAACACAGGCCAGATGTATGCCTGCAAGAAGTTGTGTAAAAAGCGATTGAAGAAGAAGGGTGGTGAGAAGATGGCCCTGTTGGAGAAGCAGATCTTGGAGAAGGTTAACAGCCTGTTTCTGGTCAACTTGGCCTACGCTTATGACACCAAGACCCACCTGTGCCTTGTCATGACCTTGATGAATGGAGGAGACCTCAAGTACCACATTTACAACATAGGTTATGATGGCAAAGGTGTGGATAAGGGCATTGAGATGAAGCGCATAGTCCATTACACAGCGCAGATCACCACCGGCATTCTGCATCTGCACGCCATGGATATCGTATACCGTGATATGAAGCCGGAGAATGTGTTGCTGGATAGCCAAGGCCAGTGCCGACTTTCAGATTTGGGTCTGGCCATAGAGCTTGTTGCAGGGAAGACTGTCACCCAGATGGTGAGTAGACATACACACAATGAAGTGGCAAATTAGTGTCTTTACAGTAATACGACACTAAGTATACCAAGTTGCACTGTCAAAACCATTAGGATGCTTTTAACATGAGAGCACCTAGCTGGATGATGTCACTGATGATAATGGGAATCATATTAAGACTACACATGATGGAAGATGTATACCCTAAGTGGCCATTTCATCTCTTACTCTAAGTCTTTGAAGTTGCCTAATTCTGTGCACCTGATCTTTAAATCAATAAGATTTTAGCCAAGTCATGATCTACATGGTTGGACTAAGTTTAAGATGATACATACACAAAAACTGCAACAGAACAAAAGAACATGCAAACAGGAAGCACTGGTTCCTCATCTCCGTCTCATCCGCAGAGGAGTTTGGAGCTAAAAACTGAACTCAGGAGCTTGTACAGGCTGTCAATCTTGGTGGGGTTTTTCCTTTAAATCCGGACAGGGATTACTGGATTGCTTAAAGATCTGTGCAATGAGAGTCTCTGAATCCATTATATAACTCAATTGATCCTTTAGCAGTCAGATTATAGCCTGGCCATTTATAGGCCACCATTTTGTGTAGGGGCTATGTTTTAGACCTTGGAGGTCCAGTGGTTGTTAAAGTAGCAGTCAATAAGTGTAAGATGGTTTGTGTCAGTAACTTGGTAACAGAGATTTAGTTGTTTCTGTAGAAGTATTACCTCGGCAAAATTGCTCTGCAGTTTCTTTCCACAATTCTTTACAAACTCTGTAGCCAGTAATTCTTCTTCCCCTGAAGAAAAAATACCATGTCATCAGTGAGTTCAGCTTGATGTTACACCACATTGACTGCACGGGGGGATTCTTGCATCTAACTGAGGATCACTCTACAATATGCAAAGCAGGGTTGTTGTCAGGGTGACAGAGCATTATGGTGGCTATCAGATAAAACACTGTGCTTGAACAATTAAAGTCCAGACAAAAACATATATACATATATAATATAAACATATAATTGTACAGATGGGACATGACCACAACCTTATAAAATTACTGACAAAAGAATCTATGCAACATTGTTTTCAAACATTATTTCTTCAATTTTTTTCTCGTAATACTGCCAGTATATTACACCACGCCTGTACTAACCTATGGATGACCTGAAAAAAAAGATGAAGTAGTTTGCAACAGGGTTTCTTCAGGACTTACTTGCAGTAGCAAAGAGTAAGCTCTCAGCTCTATGAAAGTCCAGTAAGCTCATTATCCAGTACTCTGATGCTCCTCAGCCAGCCAAAGTGACTGGGCTAACCTCCTATAGGCAAGGCTGGCTTTGGTCCCCTAATCCTCTTAGTGAGCATTACACAAGTCTGTCCCTGATTAGATTGACAGATCCAGGTAAAAACTTACGCTGAATACGTTTAGACATGTTAGTTTGCAAACAAGGTGACTTTAAACCAGTTGAAATATACCTAGAGATCTGTTCCTTGCACAAACTTCAGATTAATTCTGGGGACAATTTTGTAGCCTGTATGATCATACATGAAAACATTTGACCCATTTGACTGACCAGAGTGTGCAGTTTTGTTATTTGTTAAGTTAAACTAATTACCATCACATACACACATTTTAGATGAACAGAACAAAGTTAGAAAAAAACACAAGGAAGAAATTGAAAATAATACAGGAGTCTAATAGATTTTGCCTGATAGGTGACTTGGAAGTAAATATTAGAGCAAAAAGTTTAGCACATAAACCTGTTCAAGTTTGGTCACTAGAGATGTACTATCATGGCTTCACTAATCAGTCAGATATCATCTGTGGTCAAGTCGATACACACTAATGGAGTAAAGATCAGATCTCGAAGTTCCAGACGTGTTTAGTGATAATAACCTGTAAAGCAACAAAAACATTTTATGTAAGTACAACAGTAGCAGAAGGTATTATTTCTAAATGCCCTTTAGGTGTTACTATATTAAAGTGGCTATAAAAGGACAGTGCATCCTACAGTCCTCATAATACCCATATAACACTTCACCTGTACTAACCTAGGGATCACCTGAAAAAGATTTTTGCAACAGAGTTTCTTCAGGACTTAGTTGGAGTGGCAAAGAGCAAGCTCTTGGCTCTCTGCCAGTTTGTGCCGTGTCTGTATTAATTATACATTAAGGGCATGGCTACATTCTGGCTGTTACGTCTTTCTGCAGGTGGCCATAACATCCAGAAATGTACAGCCTTTATGTAAGACACAGGACAACTCTGTCAGTGTGTAGACATACATGACTCTTGACAGGCAGCAGGCTTAGCATTAGGATTAAGCTTCTGGTCCCAGGCTGCAGGTGAGGTCATATAGGGAGAGGGAGGGAGAGATGAGGGGGGAGGGGAGCAGAGGAGCATGGAGAGAGTGGGCTAGAGATGGAAAGGTGAAACTTAAAGAGAGAAAGGGAGAAGATGGTCAGCACTAGATTAAGGCTATTACTAACCCAGGCAACAAATCCCTGTGACAGTTGTCTAAGGAGACATATAAAGATTATGTCTTCCAGTCTGTCCTTCCACAGACCCTCTTCCTGTTCTCTCTATGCATTTTCAAGTTATGCATTGTTTGCAATGCTCATATTGTTGTACTATCACATAAAGGATTTGTAGATGTACCTTATATTCAGTCTTCCCCCTGTCTTCCTCTCCCTCCTCCAGGCTGGTACTGGAGCATACATGGCCCCTGAGATCCTGTCCAAAACTCCATACAGGACATCAGTGGACTGGTGGGCCCTTGGCTGCAGTATCTATGAGATGGTGGCTGGCTACACACCTTTCAAAGGCCCTGAGGCCAAGAAGGAGAAGGTGGAGAAGGAGGAGGTGCAGCGTCGCATTCTCAACGAGGAGCCTAAGTGGGAGCACAAATGCTTTGATGCTCCCACCAAGGACGTCATCCAACAATTCCTCAAGAAGAAAATTGAGGAGCGCCTGGGCATGAAGTAAGGGCTTCTCGCACTCTGTATCACTTTAAGTAAGACACATAGGTGTTAATGGCTGTACATAGTGGTTTAGTGAATCTGATTTTCTGAAACATCCTGTGCCAACTTTGGTTAATGGGAATGTTAGTAAAAAATTATTTTCAGAATTTCATCTGAAATCAGTTCCACGTATAATTTAGGACTAAAAAAATGTTAAATTGTTTGGATATGCACTGACATCCTGGTGCAAGCCAATTAAGGATGAAGTGGTTGAGTAAAAGCAACATCAAGTGTTAACCTTAACTGTAACCAAAACATTGAAACTCACCTTTGTAGCCACTTTGTTCTTATTTCCTAAAGACTGACATTGCAGTTTTGAAATCTCTGATGGAGAAGTTTATTTTTTGTTCTCTCATTAGGAACGACATGGAGGATCCCCGGAAGCATGAGTGGTTCAAGGCCATCAACTTCCCTCGTCTGGAGGCCGGGCTGGTTGATCCTCCTTGGGTACCGAAACCCAACGTTGTCTACGCCAAGGACACCGGAGATATTGCTGAATTCTCTGAGATCAAGGGCATCGAGTTTGACGCCAAGGACGACAAATTCTTCAAGGAGTTTAGCTCTGGCGCTGTGCCCATCCCGTGGCAGCAGGAGATGATTGAAACTGGACTGTTCGACGAGCTGAATGATCCCAACAGGAAAGAAGGTGGAGGAGATCCTGATGAGGAAAAGAAGTCCGGCACATGTATATTGCTGTGAGCAGCCACATGTTTGATATCACATACCAGTAATAACACTCAATAATTTGTTTGTTTACTCAGTCAGATGTACACTAATATTGATGTTACAGATGGATTATGTTTCATGACAAAGGTGAGCACAAGCACCTTTGTTCAGAAAGAATAACCATCCCTGTCTTGAAAGGTTGCTCATGGTTTAGAGATCTTCTGCTTTCAGGGCAAGGTTCAGTAAAATATGGAAGATGTGATGATGTATTTTGAGCATCATCTCTCTGGCTCACAGCTTGCAGATATACGTACCTAATGATGTAGACTTGAAACAACTTTTTGACCATAAATGACTAAGAGAAATTTTACAACCTCTTTATTAAAGATACTAGCATTAGAAAAGTATTTGTGCCAGAAATACTGTATTACTTCATGAAGAAACTGTCTAAACAAACAGTATTTGCAGTAAAATTATCTGCTGAAGCAATGCTGTTGCATTCAGCATTAAAAGTTAAACAAATTGGAAGGAACAAGTCGTCTCAACCATGACACTGTTCAGTTTGCGTATCTTCTAGTGAATGGTACAAAGGTTACAGCATTTTATAGCTCTCCTGCACCCTCTAATGACCTTTATTGATGCCATCATAGGGTCACACTGTTTCTATAATGAAAAGTGCTTTTTAACCACATGTTGCAGAGATAGTCGTATAGTGTTTAATATAATACGCTGTGATCCTAAACCTCAGGCTGATCACTGCATTTATATCCAGGTGGTTTTCTTTCTGCCCAACATTTTACTTTTCTAAAAACTTTAGAAAGCATCTATTTAATCTGTATGTATTGTATATAAATAAATATATCTATATCTATGCAAAGAAAGAAATGAAAAGATGTAAGTAATTTCAAATTTAGGATTTGTTTAAAAGAAAATGAAGAATACTGAACACCTCTTCACTAAGTCCCTCTACTATTGGTGCTATGAGGCTCAACTTAGTGAGAAATGGAGACTCTTTTAGCCCTGGGATCCTGGGACAGAGGTGAGTGCAGAAACAGCAGTTCACTGCTACATGTGGAGGAGGAGAATTTAGAGGAGTTGGGCATTAAATTCCTGTACCAGGAATGTACAGGTTGCCCTGTCCACAGCCCTGAAACACTGTGATACTTCAGGGCTCTTTTCTTAGTTTGAGATGAGTGTGAATAACTCAAACTAGCCAGATCCTGAAAAAAGATTCCACTGCTGTGGTTGTTGAGATGAGTATAGAGACTTGGGTTAGTTCAAAATAAGTTCCTTGTTATTCTTGTTTGTCTCAGGGTAATTACTTGCTTAAGTTTTTAAATGTCCAGATCTTGGGCCAAGTTGAGTTTTTACAGTTAATGTTAATATGATATAAATATATATGATACATGTACTTGTAAATATACCATGAGAGGAATTGCCACTGTAGAAATGTCAGATGTAAAGCAGAAATTTCTTTGAATCTTGAATCATTTGATTAAATGAAAATATGTCTTTTAGAATGTGTGTCTGTTCTGTGAATATTTATGTGTTTGTCTCAATACAGTACATTTGTTGTAGTGTTGATGCTTAACAACACTTGAAGAGCACATCTAACACCAGCGTCAGTGCCTCAAATTGTGCCATGTTACGCATGTTCTCTGGGCTATATATAACCACAGAGAAAGTGCTGCTGACGACTCTGGAGTAAAACCTAAAAATATCAGCTGCATTAATCCCTTTCAGGATGCTGACCGTGGTCAGGCTGCGCTCCAGGCCGCCACAAATTGGCAAGTTTAACTCTTAGCTGATAAGGCGATAACCAGTGTTATCCTTGCGCCTTCTTTGCTTAAATCAGCTTCAAATCCCCTCAGGTTCTGAAGCATCTCAATGTTATTGCCAAGTGAAATATCTGAGCAGAAATCAGCAGCTACACGGCTGCTCAGATGATTATTTCACCACATTTTGACATTTTCCAATCCTAATACGGCATGTGAGTGCAGTAAAGGAATAACTGAGCCTATTGATGGCGTTTTGTTTTTTCTTTTGTAAGCAAATCTTTGCATAATAATTGTGGAAAACATTTAAACAGTGACAGAAAAACACTGATACACTCAGTTATGAGTGTCATTTTCCACATCAGACTTTCACTTTTAAATATTTCTTATATTTACAAGATTTTCCAATTAATTTTTGCCTATTTCTTTGGCTACAAGACTGAAAAACAGAAACAGCCAGATGAAAATATTCGTTTGGTATTTTCTTTTTTCTCCACAACCGCTTGTTTACAGCTGTCGAAACTCAAGGACGGTAAGAGCTTAGGAGACTCTAAGGTGGATTCTTGCTCCAGCTAAACCCCGAGAGATTATGTCACATATAGCAGGACTTGGGTACAGACTACTGTTGAAAGTGAAAGATAGAGCTGCTGCTGCCTCGGGGCGCTGTAGGAGCTGGATAGATGGATGTGCTGTAATATCAGAGCAGACAGGTGTGAGCAGACTTCTTTTAATACTGACTTGATATATTATACTCCTACAGCCAGTGCAATCTCTGTGGGTCCAGCACAGTGATTCAGCTGTAGTGTATTCGTGAGAAGACATCTAAATAAGTAGAAAATATAACTACACTTCCAGGTGGGTATACTGGGGCCTGAGCACCCGACACTACTGCTAAACAAAGGCTCCCTTACCCAGACCAAGGAGAACATTATTCAGTGTATTGGTTGTGACCTTATTGGTGGAGGTGAAAAGGAAAACAAATCTCAGCATCTAATCACTAAGCTTATTTCCCAGTGGCTGTCACTGGATATTGTGGAAACCAGTGGCATCTTTAATTATGTGGATTTGTCCACATTGATGTGTGCAGTCGGAAGGACCACAACATTCACAAATGGGAAATGTAAAATACCTCACTAACCTCTTTGGTTTTTCTGTAACTGCTCATTCCTTTTAGCTGCACCATGTTTGAACCACTCTCTCACTGACAGCTCCCTCCGCCTGTCTTGTTTCTGGCTCCCTCATGTGGCAACAGGTTTGTGCTACACTGACGGCGGGAGAATGAGAATCGTGGTGAAAGATGTATCAGCAATCCCACTCGATCTGCCTGGTTTCTCTCCACTGTCCCGTTATAAAGCACACGAACAGCTCTGAAGTCAAACTGTTGCGTATTATATCATTTCATTTTACATCCATACATGCATTTAGAGATTCATTTATTCATGCCAATTTCCAAATCAAAAGCTTGTGCCTGTGGGATGGTCTGGTGTTTTAGCTCATTCGTTTGCTCACTCGTATTAACACTGAATACTTCTTCCAGCTCTGGCAAAAAGCTACAGAACAATTAAGAAATTATTACAAAAAAAAAAAAATAGAAAAAATAGATTTTTTTTTTTTTTCAAAATCACTTTTATTCCACAATTTATTTCATCAGGTCTTAAGGCACCCTGAAGAGATGTTACAAGTTGTTCTTTCAAATGCGGGTTCCTTTTAAGACTGTGTAAACATAGCTTTGAATAAGATCATTTCCTGTAAATCTTTGCTTAAATTATTTCTTTACAGTGCACAGACATTGTGTTTTGTGACAAAAATACAATGTGAATTAAGTAAATATGGTAGATAGTGTATATATATATACATTGAAGAGTAATAGATTGGCAGACAATCAGATCAACAGGCTGAAGAAGAGAGAAATCTAACAAACAATCTTTGAGACCCAGATAGATATACAGATCACGTAAAGATATACAGTACATAGTTACAGTGAACTTCTTTATTTTTGCAACGCTTTTCCAGCACCTCTCCGCCTTGAAAACAATTTCAACACTGTACCTTCTGTGTGTGTGTGTGTCTGTGTGTGTGTGTGTGTGTGTGTGTGTGTGTCACCTCAGCCACCATCAACACGCAGCACCCGGCGAGGTGAAGCGAGACAACGTATCCAATCCCGGAGGGCCCACCCACATGTTGGCTATTGCAGTGGAGAGGTGAGTAAACAGGAAGACGGGCAGACAGACAGACGGACATGCAGACAGACAGACAGACGGCACAAGACTGGGTTGTGGCTACGCAGACCACAACACAAAGATCTATCTATAATTCCCTAAATATGGTAAGGATCACAATGTATTTATATGTAGAAAGGGACTTTGTAATTGGCATTTCATATACAGGGATACAGTGGCTATACTTGATTATCAAGGTACGTTCCTATGAAGTCTTTGTGATGTGATAATGTGAATACTCTGGAGATGTGTTGGAAATGTTCTACTTTCTCAATTACACTATACAGCAAGATAAAAATCCTCTCAACATCAGCGATAATACAGTCGTCCATACAGTTTGGAGGGATGGAAACAACACTCTCTTCCTGACAGCAGGAAAATCTAAAAAACATTTAAAAAAATTGTATCAGCAACTACACAATAGCTCCAAATGGCTTGGTTGCAATGGCTATAAGTTACCTAATCACATCAATACTAAAAAAAATTAAAAAAAAATAAAATAAAATGAACTGAAGTGAAGAATGAAGAGTGCAACAGGTGAATGAATGAAAGGATGGATGGATGGTCAGGAGCAGAGCCTGTGTCTTGTTCTGGGGATCTTTGAGGAGGTCAGCAAAGGAATCATCAAGGAAAGAAGGGTCAGAAATGTCAGCAAAGCAACATTCGATTTCTGTAACTGGCTCTTCTACTGGAAGCCAAACTAATCTGCATTAAAATGTTTTGGCCACATCCCAAAATGCAGTCTTTGTGACGTATTTGACACTTCCTTCCTTCCTTTTTTATTTATTTTTTAAATCTTTAAACATAAATCCTTAGTACACGTGGGCAGCCTCTGCACCAGGTTTCTGTCATCTCTTTTACTCGACCACCTTGATCCTGAAGGTGACGCGGCCCAGGAACTTATCTCTTTCATCGTCGTTGCGGATGTCAGAGCCCTCTACCCTGCACTCCACTGACAGCTCCTTGTTGTAGTCCTCCTTGGTGAGCAGCAGCTTCACAGCCACCAGAGGCTGCACGTAATTCTCCTGCATCAGGGAAGAGACAGCCATCTGTCAATAATGCGTCAACCTGAGGACGTTAACAGACATGATCTGACTGGGGATAAATACTTACATGAGCTCTCTTGCCATAGTAGGGGAAATACATCTTATCAATGCGCCCCTCACTTGGGAAATATTGCATTTGAATTGGGTTGTCCTTCTGCAGAGAAGAACATGTGTTAATCCACATGGACTTGATACTAAATGAAATGTTAATTTACTTAGAATGAGACGTTTTTCCAAGATCACATGGGACATAACATGAAAAAAGGGAAAGTAACTGCTCTGCTGTTAGAGAAGAGATTTAAATGATGATGTGGACAACGTGACGTGTTCTGCTTTAATCTGCAAATATATTGCATATTTGTGGCTAAAAATCACGCAGATTAGATTAGGAATGACTTGAAAATGGCACTAGGATGGGTTTAGAGGCACCTGCATAATGGCCTGTTACATAATAAAAATGTGCTAACACCCCTACTGGCCTTATCCTGATAATTTACATACTTCTCTTACCCTAAAGCCATCAGTGACAGCATGCAGAAAGAAATCAGACACAAAACAGACAAAAAGAAGGAAAAAAAATGAAAGAAAGGTGAACAAAAATAAAATATTGAGACTGTTGATGGTTATCAGAGCTTTTTTTGTGAGAGAAATAAAAAAAAATAAAAAATACACATACAAACAAGTGGCACATGTATAGTCTGGAGAAAAATTTTTACTTTTACTGTGCAGTTGATATAGGGATCGCCGCGGGGCTTCAGCCCAATGATCTATGAGGTGAGGGAAACAGGAAACGTTGAGACTATTAACAGAAACAGATGTAGAAAAGCTGCTGCCTGTGAGGAACCAAAATTAGAAATTAATCAAATTATTCATCTTATTTTTGGGGACTGAACAAAGGTAGATGAGAAGCTGGCAGAGAGGGAAGAAAACGTTGACCCACTCAGGAAAGCAAGGACAAAATTGTACATTTGTAATAGAGGGAGACAATTTTGAAGCTTCTCAAAAACATCACGAGAGACGAGCCTCAATCAGTGAAAAGTGAAAGTGGGTGTTACCCTGTTCATTTTCACTAGCACGCAGGGTTTTCCCTCAGAATATCCAAAGTTGATGTCAGAAAGGCCAGAGCAGAAACTGAGGGATCCTCTCTTGAAGCGACAAGCTTTCTTTGTCATTTCCTCGGTATCGTCCTGCAGAAAGTACTCTCCCTGAGCGCAGTCCTCGTTCTTCTCCTGCTCTGTATCATTATATCCTGAGAGAGAGGGAGATGAGCAGAGATACATTCGGATACACGGCATGAATCGCTGGAAAAATGTCCGTGAAGAGGAGAATGGATTTCATTTATTAGAAATGGTGCACTTACTTTGCAGGAAGGACTCCAGGTGTTGGACGTACTGAGAATACTTGAGCGGGTCGGATTTGTTGAATGTGATGTCCAGTGAATTTGGACGAATCATCAAGCCTGCAACAGAGACATAAAGTAAACACAGAGTAAAGTAGTAAACGATCCCTGCAAGAGAAACTGAAGCCTCCAGTTACACCTAAACATTCTCCTCCCAGGTGCACAGCTGATATCACACAGGAAGAGCTTTCAAAACAGGTCGATAAAAAAAGCAGCTGTAATGTAGCGCATTATTGTGACAGCATCTCAATGGTGCGAGTATGAATAATGAATGCCTGAGAGAGAAATGCTGCCAGTTACAGTACCTGAAAGTCACCAATACCCCCATTGTACATACCGAATGTTGGGAGAAACTAACCTGGATGTGGAACTCGGTCTCTGTACCTCGGCACATTGTCATCCAGAGTGAGCAGCAGCACCCACATCGTCAGGGCGAACATACCGGCCAAGAAACAGTAGAAAACCAAGTAGAACAACAGGATGAGGGCTGGAGGAAGTTGACACAGAGACACAGAAATAGAAGAGAAGGAGAAAAGAGACATAATGAGGGATGGAGACAGAGCGGGGTCATGTTTGATTGACTACCAGCTTTAACCACACATGGGCTTGGACAAATGCCTTCAGATTTTCCTCATCTGCAGGCCAAAGAAAAATATAATTTAAGTGTACAATCCCTTTGAGAGAAACCATTTTGGAACAAGAGGGGAAATGTTGCTCACTAGTGCAAACGTGGGGCCATCGTTCACTAGAGACCCTCAGTTTTCAAATCTCATAAGATTCAGGGATGATGCTGCAGTGCTCAGAGCATCTGCTGCCTCATTTATGGCAGGAGGCAGGAGGAGAGAAAAAAAGGAGGCACAGCTATGGAAACATCTGACTCAAAATGGTTCACCACCATCCAGGCTCTCACAGCACGGATGCCCTCTAAGTTGACAGACAAAAAAAAAAAAAAAAAAAGAAAAAAAAAAGGATGGCCCCCTCAGCTTCCTGCTGTACACCCCCCCCCCTCCTCCTTCTCTCATTCCTCCCCAACAGTATCCCACAATGCACCTGCCTAGTGCGTGAAAGAGAGAGAAAGAGGAGAGAGGGAATCCCATTTGACCTTGACAGGCATGCTAATGTGGGCGGCCATGCAACTGCATGCACAGCAGCACAGGGGCCCAGGCAGCCCGACAGCCCGTGCTAGCCTATAGGAGCTGGCTGCTGGAGGGAGGGTGGTGTGTTACTACCTCACCCTGGAAATAACTGGGGAATCATTGCATGAAATGTATGGCCTGATCAGCTACAGAGTCAGCCCAGGAATGCTGTAGCACACTCCATCTGACATGAATAGGTAATTATCAGCTGGGCTCTTCAGTGTGAATGCAATTTCCTGATAATCCTATTAATGCAGATGGTAAATATGAAAAAAAAAATCTGTGCAGTGATGATTGATCACCATCTGATTGTTTATTTCCACCTATGCAGCAAAGAGAGTGGTGCACACCTTATGTAGCATCATTCATCTTGGCGAGCCTCCTGGTACAGGCTTCTCCTTTACACCTTCATGTAGGCCTATGATGTCTCCTCAGATAATCCACTATCTACATGGCAGTCATTTTAATCCATCCTCACACAGACATATATGGTAAGATATTCAAGAGGCACACATCTATTCATGCTTGGAAAACGGAAAGAGGAAGACATCAGATTCTGTACAAGCCCCGTGAATGTCAGAGCACATCCACTAATTGGCTGCTGTATGACGGGGATCCTTACCCCAGCTGCTGGCCGTGCGACCCAGCACCTCCCCGGTCCTCGGGTTGTAGAAGGAGTCCTTCCAGCTGGACGCGTTCTCCTTGTTGGTCGCTTTATCCTCGGTGCTCGCCATGGTGGTGATCTATTATTTTTTCTTCTTCTTCTTTTCGTCCAAAATGTGCGGTTTCTTCTGCCTAAAAAAATGCAGAAAAGCGCAGCAGGCGATGTAATGAGGCGAAGAAGCCGGGGACGCGGCGGTGAGTGGTCGGATCAATGGTTGGGAAGGAGTGGGCGGTGTAGAAAGAGGGAGAGCAGAAGGAGAGAGATGCTCTGGTGGAACAAAAAAAAAGCCGAGAAGGGGAAGGTGAGGAAAGAGGAGAGAAAAAAACGTCAGTGACGTCCACACAAACCCCGTCGTGGCAGCTGATGCAGTGCGACCAGATGGATATACATTGGTTAATGACGGAGGGACGCACTGAGACGCACAGTTACGCGCACAAATTATAAATACAGCGCACATTATCTTTCTTATTATCTATTATGTTATAATGGCTACATGTGTTTGGGAACAAGCTGGGATCTCCATTTTATATTACATGCCTGCAGGCTGTGGGATGCTTCAACAAACACAAGGAAAATGCAAACGTGACATTTTGATTGTGAAACCAAAGGATCAAAGTGCGTCTGAGGTACTCAACAATGAACGTTTAGGTCTTTTTTGGCTTCTGTGTTATATATCCTAATCATCCAGGTTTATTCTAGGTTCATTCCACCTCTTCTGCGCCCAAGTCGTATGCACTGAGTCACCAAACCAATGACCAATCCAATAGGCAGGAGTGGATTTCGACAGCGATGGATGCATTGTTTATCGGTGTAGGCTACAGAAAACTCTGGTTTAGTGTGCGTACACACACACACACACACACACACACACACACACATATAAGTATATAATGCCAGTGATCAGCATGTTTGAAGCCTATGAGGGTGCTATTTGTGACTGACTGACTGAACATAGATATTTGGGGCATTTGCCAATCCTTGTTGCTATGGCAATAGAACACGACTGAAACTAGAATGTATGTGTGTGTGTGTGTGTGTGTGTGTGTGTGTGTGTGTGTGTGTGTGTGTGTGTGTGAGAAAGAGAGAGAGAATACATAGAGTGCATGATTGTAAACAGATGTGTCAAAGTTAACAGGACATTTTACTGGAATCTGTCTTCTTCTTCTGTCTGTTTTCTGTTAATATCAGTATATTAGCTACAGCTGTAGAACAAATATAGTTCTTCTTAAGTAAATGCAAATTTCTGCTTTGGCAATATGTGCACATGCGTGTCTTGTCAGTGACAAATGAACTGACTTGAGAGAGGAGTTAGATGCTTAGGCAGCAGGGGGAGAGGATGAGACACTGACAGGAAAGAAAAAAGACAAAAGCTTAACTTCTAACCCCCTGACACTCCAGCGAACATTCCCAATGTGACACAGAGAGAGAGAAAAGAGAAGAGGCAGTTATATAATGACCCTTGGTGCAGGGTTCAGCTCGTATGGGGGAGGGGGACTGGAGTAGTGGTCACATTGCATCAAGTTCCTGCTGTCAGACTGAATTTGTTGCAAGGCAGGGTCCACCACAACTCATACAATGCGGCACCAGGCACAATACTAGCACACACACACACACACACACACACACACACACACACACACACACACACACACACACAAACACACACACACACACACACCCATTTTACTGATTAGTGTGAGAGCCGGCAGCACTGATTCATGGGCTAGTCCTGGTCTGCCTCTCTCACTCGAGCACATTTTTCTCTGTGAAGGCATCCCACTGCAAGCCAAGCCCACTGGCAAAAAAAAAAAACTGCCCATCTTTGAGTGAGAGAGCTGAGACTCACAGCCAGACCAGAGGGAGCGTTTGGGTGCAGGGGATGGGCGACTTGATGCAGAAAAAGCCACACTGTATGGATCTGTATGGTGCTCCTCCAAGTGAACACGCACACAATCCTCCCATTGTTTAGGAAAACCCCCTTTCGTGCTCTCAATTAGTGTCGTCCCCCCCCCCCCCCTCTTACCATACCAGCACCATGAGCAGGAATACACACCCCATTTGTTCTCAGTCACTCCATCCGCAAGCTACCATAGCAACCCTCACAGTGAGGTCAGTCACATCAATGGGAAACAATCCCTACACTCATCTAACAGCCTGTGCTTCTGATAATTCCCCAGGCACAAGAGGACAGCACTTCCTCTGAGTCCATGTGAAGGTGAAACCCTTCAGGCAGCATCTGTTTACTCACCGTCAGTGACACCGACTGTAAGCACGACACACACTCAAATCACAACAGGCAACTGCTGATAATTTGTTTTTAATACTAGCCCTTTCAAGACATACAAAGTACGTGATATTTTCTGCAGTTTAGTAACAGAAATTATGATTAGACAAATGATTTATTTGTTATTTCCCAGCAGCTTGGCATGACAAGTGCCATTCAAGAACTGAATGAAGTACAAGTGTTAAAAAATCCCACATGTGAAGACCTGAAATTTTCGATCTGATGTCAATTTCAGTATTATATGGTCACTTTGCAAAACAAAGTTAAGTATATGTAGAAAGAACTGTATTATAACATTGAGAAAGGCAAAACAATGATTAACAATACCCAGCAAGCACAACATTTCTACAGTAAGATTCACAGTTTATGTCACATATCACATAAGTACAGGCACAGTTCATCATATCACAATTAGAACTAACTTTATAACTTTGTCATCAGAGTTCATCAGGTCAAGTAAAAGACTTGAGTCAAAACATTATCATATGACATCACCATGGCTGTCCCTTTGCACTGGGATTCATAAGGCTGTGACAATTAAACCACAAACACAAGCTACACAACACGGACTGACACTGAGTAACACTCAGTACAAATGTATGCATGTCCTATTTCTGTTTTAAGTCAATGCAATTGATATGTGTGTCCCTGATCAACTTGTTCCTATAAAGCTTGAAATGCAGGCGCTAATCTACGAGATGTGCACCTTGAAACTCCTCCACAGCAGAAGATTTGAGAGAGAGATTTCATGTGAGTTGACACACAAAATCCAGTTGTTCCAGTCACATTTAAACAATATCCTCTCATGAGTCATCACTGCAGTCACTGCAATCTAATTTCTGACAGTTTGTACATCTAATTTATAACTACAAATTAAAGCTGCTCCAGATCTCTGAAAGGCAACATGTGTGAATTGGGGTTTTCTATAAAGGACTAGCACTTACACCATGTTAAATAAAGAAGAAACGGATAAATACTAAACAGTGTTTGTTCAATGCCTAACACAATTTCCTAAACAGGTTTTATCCCTCAGTGGAGCTCTTTGAATCTTGAGGTATCATGAACAGAGGCGTTAAGTGCTGTCTTTGTTTCTCACACAGACGATCATGTGGGAATCTGATATGAATGATTTTAATCTATGGCTCCTTTATGGCATGTGGCATGTGGTTGCTACGGCGAGTTCATAAACTAAAAGCTGTAAAGCCAGTCATTAGCGCCCCCATGTGGAAAAATAATATAAAAAATATAATATATGGATAAAATACTGTAATATGAAGAGACACCAGCAACCTGAGATCTGAAATGAATAATGGATTTATCTGAAAAGGCAGCTATCGTGTGAAGAAACAGAGTAAAGTTTATAGTAGCTGTATGTGGTCAACAATTCAAGGCTGTGAAGGTGGCTGCCTGGATCTGACCTGTACTGGACCTTTCCCACATATTAGTGCTATTTCATTTTGTCAGTGTGAACGACCTTCAGCTGTGTTTTGTTCAACCGTAGAGAGAAAAAAAAACCCATTGTCATTTATTTAGCATCNCTGGACCTTTCCCACATATTAGTGCTATTTCATTTTGTCAGTGTGAACGACCTTCAGCTGTGTTTTGTTCAACCGTAGAGAGAAAAAAAAACCCATTGTCATTTATTTTAGCATCCACGTATGGGAAATGCTAGACCTTCTACTTTCACATGTACTCAGACCTCATGTCTTTATCCCCCCCATTTGGTCAACATCTGGATCTCCCTGTGTGCGCTTTCAGAGTCAAGGCTTGCTGTACCAGTTCATGGAACGACGGAGAGCTCTCTCCCAGCTCTGGAGGATGGGGATGTACTCCCGATTTGGGCTGCCAGCACCCTCCTTAGGTGCCCCTTGAGGTAAGAACTCCTGATCCATGTTGTGCAGCTTCTTCAGGTCTTCCCGGGTCCTCCAGAAGCCTGCAGTGACGGTCAAAGACAGAGGAGGACTTAGGGAGACAACATGAACACAAAATCTTAAAAAAATTACCAACATATAACACAGGAAGTCCTATGAAGGCGGATTTTGTCTGTGTGAGTTTTGTAAAAGAGTTTATATACAACAACCAGAACAAATCTGGCTTGTTTGTTTGATTTGATTAAGCACTGACTAATGTATCTAATTATTACATAATGTGAATAATCAAATGGAAAGTAGGTTACATAACACACAGCGACATTTCATTTTGCTTCTTCTGCCAGTATCAACAAGAATAGAAATAGGACTTTTGATCATAACTTTTCAAATGAATCTCAATGTCATGACCAAGTTTTGTAATATTTTTAGAGAAAAATTATCAACCGCTGTGAAAGAAAAAAGTCAAACTGCTTGACAGACACACAACTTCACACAGCCGGCTGCTCACTGCAGAAACCAAAAAGAAGTGAGGACATATCCCTCCTGCCCAAAAAGCATTTTATACAAGAACAGCATTGGTATGAAATGACTATCCAGCATACAGCATAATGTACATGTGTATGAACGTGTCTCTACGTACCCACTCCAAGTCCAGCAACAAAAGCAGCCCCCAAACACGACATCTCATGGTGTTCGGGTCTGGCTACCTTTCTGCTAAACAGGTCTGCAGTCAGCTGCATGACGAAGTCATTGGAGGAAACACCACCATCCACCCTGAGAGACACAGAATGAAAGACAGAGCTCTCTATTACATTACACTGCAACTCACTTTACTGTAACAGTAACAGTATCAGATCACGATACACATATAATGGATTGCCAATAAAAACTGAACTGCATTAGTGCAAATCTAATATCAGATCAGATATCGCACTGTAAACTGGGATATCAAAGAGGGACATGTCCACATCCCACAGCAGGCTTTCATTACCACAATCATATTCTGTCTGCACTGACTACCGACCGGCTCAGTGGATGATAGAACTGTACCTGATCTTTGCGATGGGGATGTGAGTTTCTTTCAGCATCGTCTCATACAGCTGCTTGTTTCTGCAAAGAATAAACAGAATGCAA